AGCAAACTATTACAATAACTAATAGTCTGCATTGAAGTAATAAAATACCGTTTTTTCTATATATTGAATTATTTTTTATCTCTCACAGGACCTTCTATGAGCCAAAATGAATGTTGCCCCCTAAAATTATTCCTCATAAGGCATACATCCCACTAGTTTATTTCGAAATTGGCGAGTCACACTTCCCTAGTTTCCCTTGTTAGTAGGGTTACAGAATTTATTGTACTAGATCATATTTTAAACATTCATAATTTTAAATTCTGATAATAAGTCATGAAATTGTGGACAACATTAACAAATACACATATGCAATTCAGTAAATTCTTTGCATATTTCAGTTTTTAATTTTAAAATAAATGTACATTAATTGTCAAGTATGGGTATGAATATATATCAGAGATCCAGATTAAAAAGAGCACTACCCAATAATGTTAACTAACTTTTCTAATTGAAGTATAAAGCAGTTTCATTTATTCAATTTTAATATTTATATACATTTTCTACATGCTTTGCTGTTTTATTTACAAATTTTGGAAAAAAAATAGATGACAATTTTACAATATGAGTAAAACTGTATTTTTATTATGAGGGGCTGTAATGCTATGTTAACATGTTTTTTGGTTGAGTTCTCCTTTGTCAGTAAAAATATAGCATACTTCTTCTTCCTAAGTAATTTAGTTATTTCTGTCATTTACCAGAATTTGTTTTTAATAAAGGGCCAACATTGCCTACACTTTATCTGATTTATCTCCTAAGGAATTTATTATTCTTGGAATTTATCTTTTAAATTTCAGAATGAAGGTAACGTCGAAAAGGAACGATTGAATAAATTTTTCCACATTATACACTTTTTTATTGATTAACTATGGAAAAAAATTAAAAATTGAATGAAAAGGATTACCTTTTTTTTATTATGGACTTCTTATAATTATGAGAGTTTTAAAAGTTACTTTCTAAGTCTCGCAGGTGTATGACAGATTTCCATCTGTTATGATTTTGGATTTACAGTGAATGGACTTTGCAAGAAGGCTATCAGAATAAGAAAATTTCTTAGAGTTAAAAAAGTTCATTTACAACTCTTGTCATTTCAGCCTTCTAACTACTTGGGAAAATTTG